CAGCTTCCCCAGAGCTTAGGTGTTCTAGTTCCTCTTGGCTCCTAACTGACCTCCAGCCTTTTTTCTTACCCCTCTCAAACCCAGGTCCCACCTGCAGGCAGAGTGATTGCTCTGAAGCACAAACACGGTCACATCGTTCCCTTTCTAAAGCCTTCAATGCCTCCCCATGACCCACTGGGTGAAGTCCAAGTCCAGCGCCTGCCACAGAGAGTTCTACACAACGCGGATCTTGCTGGCCTCTCTGAACTACCTCCAAACACCAGCAGAGATGGAAAGTTCTTCTCTGGGGGCCTTTCCCTAAGCCCCCAAATCCCCATCTCCAGGCTCCTCGTCTGTCTCCCATCCCGTGTGTCACAAAACTCATTTATTCATGATAATAACGTGTTCCTCTTACTGTGTGCCAGAAGCTGTCCTCAACACTGCACATGAGGTCATGCCCCAGTTCCCATGGTCACCCGATGTGATAGGTGGCAGCAGCATCCCCATTTTACAAATGAGGGAACTGAGGCAGACAAGGGCCACTCTGTGCCCTGTCAAGGTCACACGCTCAGCCACATGCTCTTACCCCTTGGTATCCCACCCTCCCCTTCCTGTCTGTGCTGGGCCATGCCAGAGCATCCTTCCACCCCAGAGCCCCGCAGCGCCCAGCAGGCAGAGTGGGCACCCAGTCCAGGCTGCTGAACAGAAGCGAACCTAAGGGTGCCCAGCAACAGTGCCCTCTGTGCAGGGCTTGGCTCTCTGCTGCCCTCTGCAGGTGTCAAAGGCCCTCCCGCTCAAGGGAGAAGACGAGACAAAGTGGAACTGTGTCCCTTGGCCCTCTGTCACCAGCCGATGGCACACACCTGCTCCCAAGCAAGGAGCTATCCCTCCTCTGTTTCTCACCCCACCCCCACCCGAATATTTCCAGTAAGGGGGAGTTGGCCATCCTCCTGAAGCCGCTTCTGCTGCCTCACCAAGCAGATGGAATGAGAGCACCCCCTCCAGCCCTGCCAACCTCGAAAACACGGTGATTGAGGGAAAGAAGCCACCACGAAGGCCACACGTTGTGCCACTGCGTTCATAGGAAGAGACCAGAACAGGCCCATCTGTGGGCCAGGAAGTGGACCAGCAGTTGCCCAAGGCGAGTGGAGAGCAGGGGTCAACGGCTACGGTACAGGGAGGTCCTCTGGCAGTGGGAGGGTGCTGATCATGGCTCTGGGTGCACACTTCCACGCATGTCCTAAAAACCCTGGCTTTAGGGCTGGACTGGAGCTCAGTGGCAGAGCACTTGCCTAACACGTATGAGGCCCTAGGTTTGATCCTTTAGCAGCACCACAGAAAAATAAAACGAGTATTCTGTCCACCTACATAAAAAATTAAAAACAAACAAAAAACAAACAAAACAACACTGGCTTTGAATGGGTGAATTGCAAAGTGTGCAAACTCTGTCTCCATCAAGCTGTGATCAGGGACGGGCACAGAAGCCCAAAGAAGTGAGGCACGTCTGGGAGGCTGTGCCCACAGAAGCAGGGAGCTGCATAGTTGGGGAGGGGTAGGTTCCCAGGAGGAAAAGCCAGGCAAAGCCTGGTCGTCGTGCACAAGCACCCATGGGGAGCCCCCCACCCCGCCTCCTCAAGTCTTCACGCCCACCACAGGACCCACACGGGCTCTGCAACCCCCACACCAGCCCTGGCCGCCCCACCAGGCTCTGAGCTCCCTGAAGGGAGGGCTGCAGGAACCTTCCCTCTCCTCTGCTCTAGTATCCTCTCCCCCTCCTCCTCTGCTCTTGACCACCATCCCTGAGGGTGCCCAGCCCTCCTACACACACACACACACACACACACACACACACATATACACACGTGCTTGGACCCAGCCCTTTCATCAACCTTCACTTTCTTACCAGGTAACAACCTCCTCCCCCCAAAATGACCATTGCATCCCCTCTTGGACCTGATCTCCACAGCTAGCCTGCCACAGCTCACAGCTGCCCCCTGTCTGCTAAGCAAGGGGACCAGGACCACAGTGCTCTGAGCAACCACTTCCAGGTGGCCTGTGGCTGGCACACTGGACAAAGGTGAGATGAGTCACAGACATGGACCGGCCTCACTCTGAGGCTAAATGAGGATCTGAGCTCATGAAAGGAGCAAATCTGAGGGTGACGATTCACAGGCACAGCAGAAGCACTTACTAGTAACCAGACGGTGCTTGTAATGAGCCCAGCATTCCAAACCTCTCAGCGGCTGTGGCTCGGGCTCCTCCCACCACTGTTCCCACCACTTGCCTTAAAACACTTCTCTGGTCTTTGGACAAGGGGAACATGGCCTCACCGTGCCAACCTTAGCATAGAAACCAAGAGAAACAGGACCCTGGGGCAAAGTGGTCTTTCGTTAGGTGGCACCAGGTGTCATGGCAGGCACCGGGTGTCAGCTGCCATCGCTCTGGATGAAACCAGTCCCTTCGTTTAGCAAGCGGAGAAGCTGGGCTAATAAGCCACTCTGCTGCCATTCTTCAGGTAGGTCAATACTCTCTGTTCCAAAGAAAGTCTCCCCTTTCTCACACCCACCCACTGGACCAGGGTCCTCCCTGCCCTGAGGGATGCCTGGAAGCCATCCGGAGCCCAGAACCTATCTAGAGAGCCTCAGGGCCTGGACTTTCACAGAGGGCTCCTTCTCAGAGATTCACACACACAGAGGATTCTGGCACCAGGACAGGAGAGAGCTGGGTTCCCAGGCTGACCTTCTCTTTCCAGCTATGAATCCAGCAAAACCTCAGCTCCTACCGGATGGAGAGTGCCTCCTCTTGGCACCCCAGTCTCCTGGGGTTCGTAACTGCTTCATGTTTTCTTGATGAACACTCAGCTCATCCATGGGAATGGCGAACTGCTTTCCCTCGGCACCCCCAGCTCCTCCCTAGAGGCAGCAGCTGCAATTCTTCTTCTTTTTTAACTGTATTTGTTCATTTTTTTTAATGTGGTGCTGAGAATTGAACCCAGTGCCTCACACATGCCAGGCCAGTGCTCCACAACTGGGCCCCAGCCCAGCCCAGCAGCTGCGGCTCTTTTCTTACTTACTGGTGGGAACTCAGAGGTGCTGGGGATGGGACAGAGGCCCCAAGTCAAGGATTCCAAAGCCAACCCCTTTCAGGGTCCCCGTGCCTCGCCTGGCTGGATGTCCTGAGGGGCGACCTGCTGAGTGGACAAGCAGCCACCCCTTACTGGACGCCCACTCTGTGCTCTCCCAATCTTGCCTCATTTATTCCACCTCTACTTGAGGTCACAAAGACGTGCCCCATAGAGCAGGGCCACCATCGTTCCCTCTGGCTACTCAAGCCTGGAACAGCACAGCCACTTCTGCCTGGATTCTGCCCATGCCCTAAGTAAACCCAGAGGAGAGGGAGGGGGTGGGGCAGAGGTGGGGAGAGAAGAGGAACAGGGAGAGAGGAAGGAAGGATGAGGCCCCGGGAGGGAGAAAGGAAGGAAGAGAGGAGGAATGGAGGGAGGAGAGGGAAGAAAGGATGGTGGGGAAGAAATGGGCGTGGAGGGATGTGGAGGGAAGGAGGGATGGTGGAAGAAAGGGGGGAGAAAGAGAGCAAGAGAAGGACAAAGACAGCTGCTTCCCTGCGGGAGAGGACAGGCAAACCCTGGGGCTTTGTTGTTTAGGCTGTGTGGATGGATGTCCTGCTGGGTGTGTCTGTCCTGTGTGGCAATGGACTCCCTGTCACTCAGAGTCCTAAAACCACGAACTATCCTAAAACAGCCATTTTCAGAGAGGAGTTTGGGCCACCTGGAGTGGAATCCAGTTTCCCCAAAGACTAGATGTGGTCCCTGTTAGTCACAACATGAGGCAGAAACTGATGAGGGACAAAAGAGCCCCACAAAGAGCACCTTGTAGCCAAGGGAGGGAGGAGCCCCTCCTGCCAGGCACAGGGGGGGATGGTGGCAATGGGGCCAGACCAGGGGGAAGGCCCTGGGAAGGAGAGCTGACAGTGCCGGTGCCCACTCTGTGCCAGCAACCTCAGCCCATCCAGGGTGAGAGCTCCGCTTGCAGGGGCGGAGTCTGGGGCCCCCTGTGGGTGAGGCCACCAAGTCACCTGCCCACTCTAATGGAGATTTAAATTCCCATCCAGCCTGAGAATCTGAGTAGGGGTGTGTGGTGTGTCCAGACCTCTTGGTGTACAGGGCACTGTCCGATCCTGGAGCCCTCTCACAGCCACTCCCACGGCCCCCTGTGGCCCTTGGCAGGTCGTCTCCTTCACCTGGCTCCAGGGCTGAGGAGCAGCATCTCCAGGAGGCAGGGATCCCACTTTACAGTGTCAGCAGCGTGTCCTGAGCAGTAGCCAGTGCTTCTCTCCAGGCAGAGTGGCTCCTGGGTACTGGGCCCCTTCCACAGCCTCACTTCCTTAGCACCTGTTCCACCCCAGGCCCCGAGGGGGCTCTAGTGCTAAGGAAAGAGTGTCACCGGACTTCCCGGGAGTGGTGGAGGAACAGAGGCTTCAAGAACAGTGACCCTCCCCCAGGCCAGTGCCAGGAATGGAGGGCATGGTCAGAACCACAAAGTGGGGTGTTGGAAAAACTCCCCTGGGAAGAATAGGGGAGGCCTGAGCCTTGGCTGGGAAAGCAGCAGGGGACAGGGCAGGGGGAAGGCATTCCCGAAGGAGGGAGCAGCTGGCGTGGAGGCAAGTGACACTGAGCCTGGAACCGAGTCCGGACAGTGCTCCGGAGGGCAGGAGAGGAAAGGCGCCATCCGAGCCAGATCTCAGAGACCTCTGGTGCCAGGAAGGGGGTGCCAGGAAGGGGAGCGTGGCAGGCACCCTGGAGTCAGTGACACCACTGCAGGGATGTACTCAGGGAAAGCTGTGAGCACTGTGTGAAACTGTGATTTTCATGATGTAAGGCAAGAGCTGAGGACAGAGGGGACCCAGGTTTGAAGCAGAGACGGACCTCGGGAAGAGAGAGCCAGAAAAGAGGCCCAGAAAGAGGGAAGGAGCGCTGGAGGGGAGGGCGCGCCCGCTGCACTCACCGCGGAGCCACTGCGCCCCGGCGTGCGCGTCCTTGGGGCGGATGAGGCGGCGCTGCGCGTAGCTGCGGCCCACGTACCACAGCATCCAGAGCAGCTGCAGCAGCATGAGCGCCGTGAGGAAGCAGAGCAGGTCCCGCTTGCCCACGCCCGCGGCGTGCACCGCCCAGGCCAGCAGGAACAGCAGCCCCGCCACGAACACGTTCAGCCCGTACTGGCTGCTCAGCGTCTCCGCCAGCTTTTGCGGAACGCTGGCTCGAACTGCGGTCTGTCGAGGGGCCGGGGATTCCTGGGACCCCCGAGTCAGGAGCGGGGAGGGCGGGCAGCCTGGGGGCCCCGATGAGCCCCGGTCCGAGGCGCTCGCTGATGCTCCCGGCGAGACGGGTGTCCCGGGGCCCGCGGGCATCTTCTAGAGATCTAGCCTGGTCTCGCCAGGAGGCGTGTGAGGCCGTCCCCGCCCGTTGCTCCTGGCTTCTGTCCTTGCCTGGAGCCCTCTGTCAATCAGCCCCCTCACCTACTGCCACTCTGATCCCTGCCCTACCCTCTTCTGCCCCGGTGCCTGGTGCCCTCTGCCAAGGCACTCCCGTCCCCTCACCTCCCGCTCCCTGCCCCAGGTGTCTACGCGCTCCGGATTTCAACTGTCCGCGTCTCCTCCCAGCAGCCGCGACCCCTGGGGTCCTCCCAGGACTCTCCAGGCTTCTGATCCCGCGCTCCCAGGCCAGCCCTGTCCGACACCCGCCCACAGCCACCCCCGCGCCCCCGGGAAACGCAGAGCAGCGAGAGTTGCCTCTAGCCCACTGGCAGAGTTGGTAGTGTAGGGACAGGGGACACAGAGGGTCGCCCTGTTGTAACCCTAGGGAGTGAGCTGGGGGTGTGGCTGCGGTGGAGCTGAAGTCACAGCTGCACGGCCGCCAGTGCAGCCGGCAGCTGGACTCCCAGAGCTGGGGCGAGCCTGCGGGTGTGCGTGCGTCCGTGCGTCTGTCTGTTCTGATCCCTGCGGATTTCTGCTATCTGTGGTCTCTGTGTGGGTCGCTCCTGTGTCTGACCTGGGTGGGGAAGAGGAGGAGGGGCGTCCTTTTGTGGGTCTCTTATTTGTCGGGCTGGTATGCCTGTATGTTGGGGGCAATATGCTCACACGTGGAACAGGACCCGAGCCATTTCCTAGGAAGAGATCATCCCTCGCCCTCCAAGGAAGTGGGGACTGTCTCAGCCTCAGGACGGAGCTGGGACAAGGAACGCTGCCCAAATCCCCCGACCCTCAGTCCCTCAGTCCCGGGGCTCCCCTTCCAAAGCCCTCAGTGCGCACCTGGAACAGACCCCTCCCAGAAGCGGGCTGTGTTCCCTAAGGACTCCACCCTGGTGCCACTAAGAGGAAATCCAGGCAGGTTTCTGAAAAAACATAAAATAAACCAAGTCCTAAGGTTGAAGGTGACTAAGATGAGAGGCAGGGACCTTAAGGGCACGAGAAAGAGGAAGGTAGAACCTGGGTATCTAAACCCCAGAGAAGGCAGGAGGAGCCTGGCTTGTAAGCACCTTGTGCAGTACCCAGGGTGGACTCTCATATGACCCCTGCCCTGTGGACTTGTTGTAGGGACAGACGAGGCAAGGCACTGAAGATAGCAGGAAACAGTTTTATTTGGTTGCAGCCAGGTTCAGAGGGCACAGCTTTTGCTGTAATCAATTAATCCCCTGAACCCCRAGTTCAGGGCGTTTCAGAGTTTTATACCCAGCGTGGAAGGGGAGGGACTCAGAAGTTCACAGTCTGCAGAAGTTCACATAAAAGCAGCTTTTTCTTTCACTGTTCTGGGCAAGTTAATTCTTCAAGGACAACCCCTGAGAAGGGGAGAGCTTCATCTCCCCTTTCTTTCCTCCCCCTGCCAGCTGTTACCATGGAGCCCATTTGTAACTTATCTTAAAAATGTAGACATCTCTGTGAAGCTCAGCTCAAGGCCAGAGGCCTTGTTTGCACATTTCTACAAAGTACTATACTGGATATGTTTGTGAAAAACTAGTGAGGGGGTGTCCAGCACCTGGAGTGCTGGTATCTTCCCGGCCAGTGGCCAAGTAAACAGGACGACTCGAAAATAGGAAGTTTATCTACATTGGACTCTTTCGCAGAGACTCTTTTGCTGACAGTTCTAAAATCAGCCATGATGAAGAGGGCTTTTCTGTGGAGAAAAGAGGTGCCACTTCAATGTAACACTTCTCTTGCCGTCTTGAAATTCTTTATTTTTAAATCAGGGGGCCTTTTCCAGTTCGTATTGGGTCCAGCAAGTCACAATAACCTGTCCTGACTGCTACAGGGGGACGGAAGCCCTGGGCCCCAGCAGAGAATCAGCCTGGAGACCTGCCTTACCTGCCCCCCCACACCTGCCTTTGATCTACACACTTCTCCACAGTGAGGTTCCGTTCCAGGCACTCGGGATTCAGCAATGAGGGCTGCTGCTGTGGAGCTGCTGTGCAGATGGAGATGGACTCCGGGGACACCTGACTTCTTAGCACTGGCTGGTGAGCTGAGGCTTAGCTCTCCCCTTCAAGGAGCCCAGGTCTCAAAGGGGGAGACAGAGGAGACTGCTAGGAGGGGAGGTTGGAAGGAGGGTTGAGGTTCCCTGTCTGCCAGGAAGGCCCAGAGGTCGGGGAGGAGAATACACCTGCACAGGCTTTATATCCAGGAATAAGGGGCCAGGTGGAGCCAGGAAGGGCACCTGGAAAGATGCCCCAGCATGTGCAGAGACAGGAGTTGACACACAGCCCGGACTCAGGCCGTTTCTGCTGGAAGCCCTGTGTCCTCAGTTGTGCCCAGACCCCAGCCAGCATACACACTCAGCAAGTAAACTAGTGACTTCAAGAGTGAACCACTGCAGGGGCGCAGGAGCAAGCATAGGAGGCCTGGGTCTCCTCACAGGCCACAGAGGGTGTGGGACTGACCCCGGGAGAGGCAGCTTGCCCACCACACCATACCGTGCCCACATACCTGGCCCGCCTTCTCACCAAGCGCTCCTGCCACACAGACACCTGTGGCCTCTCTCCCACTAGAACAAAGGCTCTGTGGGAAGGACTTGGGCTTGGTCACTTCCATGTCTCCAGCACATAAGACAGTGGTGCCCAGCACAAAGTAGGTACTCAGTGAAGATGTGTGGGATGGGTGGGCGGGTGGTAGCTGAAATAAAAGGTTCTTTACTCGGCCTGCTCTCCTGTGTTCCCTGTGGACTCGTCCCCCTCTCCATCACATTTATTTCTCACCAATCACAGTAACTGTCTGTATTTAACCCTTTCTGACTCTGAGCTTCCTAAAGACAGAAAATGTCTGGCTCATTCTTCTCTTGGACACCTAGCATGTGCTTTTTATGATCCATGGAGAAAGGTGCTGAGTACCTGCTGTGTGCGAGGTCCTGTGCCAGGCCTGGGGACAGCAATGAGAAATTCACAGTTTGTGCCATGTGCCATGAGAACCCAGGAGAGGGAGAACCTGGTGCCTAGCAGGGGACTGGGACCCCAAACCTAAGCCAAACTGATTTTATTTCACCTCATAGTTTAACAAAGCACTTTCCCATCCATGATATCTCTCATAAATTGGCTTGGTTTAACATGGCTTTGTAGGGAAGGAAATATTAAGAGGTGATTATATAGGGGAGTTCTTAAGTCAGGCTTTGGGATGTGGATTGGACTCCATCACTTACTCCTGTGTGACCCTGAACAAATAACTAAGCCTTTCTGAGTCTCGGTCTCTACATCTATAAAATGAGGTTCTTAAAAATGACTATGCCTAATGTTTCTATGAGAATAAAATGAGTTGCTACATCAAAAGCACTTGGGAAGTTACCTGAGATTTTCAGTGTACCAAGACAGTTTGGACTGAGCATTCTAGGTGTCAGACACAGAGCTGAGGCTGTGGCAGAGGCAGCCAGTGTCCATCAAGTGCTGCTTTTCTATCTTGTAGTTTCTGGGAAATGACAATCCAGTGGGGACTCTGCTTCCCATACCCCTGGCATCTAGAATGGCCAAGTGGCTAAGTTCTGAACAGTGGCATATGATCAGAAGTGATGTGCACACTCCTGGCCCAAACCAGGAAAACCTTCTCCATGATCCTCCATGTTCTGTCCTCCCCTCCCACCAGCTGGATGTCGACACCAACACCTAGAGCCACCTTGCAGCCATGCTGAAGATGGCAGAGCCTGTCAGCAGAGTTCCTGCTGAAGCTGGAGCTTCCACAAGTGAGAAATAATGTCCCCTCGGGCAACACCACTGCAGAGTCAAGACATATTTGTTACAGCAGCTAGCCTTACCTTGTCTCACTGAATATGAACTTCCCTATATAATCACCTCTTAATATTTCCTTCCCTACAAAGCCAGTTAAACCAAGCCAATTTACGAGAGACATAATGGATGGGAAAGTGCTTTGTAAAATTAGGTGAGACTCTGCCTCTGAGCTACCTTCTTTTTAAAATGTTTTTATAGAGCATGAATAATTGTATAATATAGGGTTCGTTTTAACATGTTCACACATAAGTGGATTATGATCTGCTCCATTTTGGCCCCTAGTACCTTGATTCCTTTTTTATATTTTTAAAATTATTTTTATTTGTTCTAATTAGTTATCCATGACAGTAGAATGCATTTTGACATATCACACATAAATGGAGTATAATTTCTCATTCTTCTGACTGTACATGATGTAGAACCACACTGGTCATGTAGTTATATATGTACATAGGGTAATAATGTCAGATTCATTCTTTTATCCTTCCTACCCCTATACCCCTCCCTTCCTTTCACTCCCCTATATCTAATCCAAAGTACCTCTATTCTTCCCTAGCCCCACTCCCTTATTATGAATTAGCATCTGTATATCAGAGAAAACATTTGGATTTTAGTTTTGGGGGATTGGCATATTTTACTTAACATGATATTCTCCAGCTCTATTCATTTACTGGCAAATGCCATAATTTAATTCTTCTTTAAGGCTGAGTAATATTTCATTGTGTGTGTGTGTGTGTGTGTGTGTGTGTGTGTGTGTGTGTATATATATATATATATATATATATATATATACATACATACCACATTTTCTCTATCCATTCATCTTTTGAAGGGCACCTAGGTTGGTTCTACAGTTTAACTACCATGAGTTGAGCTGTTATAAACATTGATATGGCTGTGTCACTGGAGTAAACCATAAGAAGTAAAATCAAGAATCAATAAATGGGATAGGTTCAAACTAAGAAGCTTCTTCTCAGCAAAGGAAGCAATCAATAGCATGAAGAGGGAGCCTACAGAATGGGAGAAAATCTTTACTACATACACTTCAGATAGAGCACTAATCTACAGGATATATAAAGAATCAAAAACCTCAACACCAAAAAATAACAACAAATAACCCAGTCAATAAATGGGCTAAGTAACTGA